GGGCTGGCGCTGCAGCTGTCGTGGGAACAGGCCAAAAATAGCCTGTTCCTAAAACCCTGGTTTGGTGCCTGAGTTTCGGGGCAGGTCGGTCTGATGAGGGCCCGAAAATGGCCCTCAGTTTCAGGCTAAAAAGGCTCATGCCGTTTTTAGTCTGAACCGACACAGGGCCTGTAGGCCCCTGTTTCCAGCTTTTCGAGCTGAACAGACACGGGGCATGTAGGCCCTAAATTTCAAGCTTTCGGCCTGAAGGACGCAGGGCCTGGAAAATGACCCTCGTGTGCAGGCGCAGCATGTAACAGTGGGCCAGGAGATCCCGCCGCGACCATCCACAGAATTTCCCGATCCCTTCCCACCCCACCAGTTGGCAATGGTAGATATGCAATGGTATGGAGCAGATTGAGGAGCAAGGACGGAGCACACAGAAGATGCCCAAAGCGTACTCCACTCCAACAAATCTAATACTAACCCTGTGCAGTCAATCCCCTGGAAACTGGTAATCAATGCTGGCAGGCCTATAGACTGAAGGTGAGAGAAAGACAAGAGAATAAAGGTTTAAGGAATCGACAGTGGAAACCACCTTCAGCAGCAGATCATTCAGTATGAGAAGCACACAAGCATCTCCAGCATTTAAGTCCGGATCAGACGGCAGAGTAGCTGAGAGGAGCAAGCTGGCCAAGCCATCGTATACAAGTCAAGCACCCCATTCAGGGTACGTAGAGATCAGCCTATTTACAGCAGTCAGAACGTAAGTCAAGTAGGCTAACTTAGGCAGGGGTGAGGGGTGGTATATCCTTCCCAATGGAAGTAATCAATGCCGTCCACTCGGACCTCTCAACTGGAATGGGGAGGAGCGTGTGTGTGTGACTATTGTGACCATTGTATTCATCTTTGACTTGCCGGGGGAAGAGAACCGGACTGTCGCTCCCCAGAATGGCAGGAGTCAGAACCGAGAGGTTCTGATTTAAAAATAAAAAATAAAAAAATATGATTTTCATTTCATTTCTATTTTTGGTGTTTGTGTGCTTCCACTGTGTGTTCTTATCATCCAATGTGGTGTGGATTGCTCCCTGCAAAGGTCACTTGTCATTGCACATGTTTATGGGAACGTGTGGATGCCATGTTGGATCTCGTTTCAGTCAGGCACACAACACCTTTACCGTGCCTCTCATGCACAAGGCTCGCAACGTTGATTGTGGTGAGCGTGAGCTGCCCACATCCTTGTGTATGTGTGTGTATGTATGTGTGTTGTCATATTTGCTATACCCCCACAACTCCACAGAAAAAGCATGACTTTACGCAATCGTTTCGCCGGACTCTCACCAACTCCCCTATGCATGTGTGTGTGCGTGGGCAGGGGCCAGGGCTCACAAAATGAACAGCTGCAAAGAAGAACCCTCATGTCGATTGCTTGGATGCCAATATGATACCTAGGAGAGGCAAACCATCCACCACGCAGCTCTATTTCGTTTTTTGCCCCCTCCATTTCTACTGGTCAGGGTGTCGAAAAAAACTTTGAAAGAGGCAAGAGGGCCAGAGGGGCAGGCCCTTAGCCAATGGATCAGTGGTACCCACATACGCAACTGTCGCAAGGATTCACGTTCAGAGATCGAATCTTGTCGGAAGCAGTTGTATTAAACTTGGGTACAATACAGGGAGGGCTTATCTGCTTTACTAAAAGGAAGGCAGAAATGGGGAGAGAAAGCAAGCATCTGCATTTTTGCAATCCTCTTAATAAAGAGCACTGCTCATCCAACCCTCTTGCCCAAAAGTATCCTTTACTTATTGTAATTGTAATTCGTGACCTGGTGGTGCCCGGCAGCTGAAAAGACTGTAGGCACGTCTGGCGTTGTGCTGCCACAAGGACGTCCACCCATGTGCGAAACACGACAACCATCAGGCGTTTGTGTCGGATGGCCGGTCAGTGTGATCGCACAGCACTGGAGCGGCCCACAACATGTTGGAAGGCAGTCAATCCACCAGAATAAAAAAGCAACACCCCTGCACCAACAGTTAATAAGTGGTTTCACTTTTATCTCCGTGAACAACCCACTGAACTGTCCAACTCCTCCACTACTTGTTGACATCTGGCACGTATCTCGATTCTGAAGTTTTATCCAATTTTTCTTGTTTCTAAATGGAACTCGCAATCTCGCTCAACTTTTATTTAGATCAGTGGCTTTTGTTTTTGTTTTGTTTTTAATATGAACAACTCTTATAAAACCAGGAAACGGGCCCGGCGTCCCTCACATGAATTCTGTAGCCAAACCACGCTGGGAGAGGCACTTCCGGCCAGTCACATCCCCAACCACGGACCTCCACCAGTGAAGACGCCTGTCTTCAGCCCATCCCGTGCAGATCTATTTAGATCAGTGGCTATTTGATGGAGGGGTAAATTTGACTGGAATATCTACTCTTTTAGGTGGTCAAATATTTTATTTTATTTTATTTATTATTATTATTATTATTATTTTATTATTATTATTATTATTATTATTATTATTATTATTATTTTTAATCAAGAAAGTGGTAGAATGTCATCCTATTTATTCGGAATTCTCATAGGTGCAATTGTTTACTATTTTTCTTACCTTTACACAATTTTC